CATTGCCTGCACTCTGAAAGAGGGATAAGAATATTGCAGTCTGAGGGGTAATCTGATTGTAATGGCAGTTACACTTCTGGAAAGATGGTGAATAAGTGAATGTTGGTGATTGTGTTTTCTTTGGATCACCCTAGCTTGGTAGGAGTTGGCCATTGAGTTAAAGTATACATTTCTTGAATTGGAAGTACTGTATACCTGCCAGTCTACAGCGGGGGTGATGTAAAAAAAAAAAAAATTGGGGGAGGTGAGGCGATATTAACACCCTGTCTCCTCCCTAATTTATTGTTTTGGTCGACTTGAGGCTTGTGATTTACAGTATAATGAACGTTATACACTTAAATGATAAACAAAAATTCTGTATGGTAAACTATTATACTGTGTATTAATAGTACAGGTACAACGCTGATTTTCTTTCAGTGGATTATCTGGCATATCCTTTAGTTCGGACAAAAATTACGGACTTACTTTTTTGTCGGAATCACAACATAGTGTGAGCACACACTACATTGTATGTAGTGTGTCCTCACTTAAATTGTTTACACTAACTCTTGTTGGTAGTGATCCCTTTATTGTGTGATTCTTATCATATTTTGCTAACAGTTAACCTTTGTGATTTAGCACTACAGTTCCAGTAATAAATAAGTACAGTAAATAAATAAACCATTTTCATTCATGCTGATGTTTAAGTTTCCAGCAGACCAGGGTGGGTCAGAGATATATTGTTGCATTATTATTGTTACATTTATTGGTCTGGCAAAGTCAATATACTGGCAAAGTCTAGGAAACCAGGGGTGCTGGACAATCGGTGTTGTACTGTATAAAAATTAATAGGGTCATTCATTATTGATAACTTTTTATTGTAAATAAGGTTTAATCTTAGTTCATTATTATTATTCTAATTTTTCCTGTTACAGTAATTATTACAGTGACTTGGATATTTTTGGGAGAAAGATGCAATGAATGTAACCTGTGTTTTGGAACAGACTGTCTGACCATATTTGACTACTTGATTGGGGAAAAAAATCGTGAACAAATAATTACAGTATAATTGAAAGAGTGCTTTGAGATTTTTGTGAAAATGACAATCACTAGTTGATACTGTATCTTTGAATATAGTGTGTATTGTATTTACATAATAAGTTTAATTCACGTGCTTATAGTTATAAGTTTTCATTTGCTTGTATTCATTAATTATATTGTCTCACACAGTGAAATACCTGGGTCTACTTGCTATGTCAAAAATTCTGAAGACTCATCCAAAGTCAGTTCAGGCACACAAAGATCTGGTCCTTCAGTGCCTTGATGACAAAGATGAATCCATACGGCTCAGGGCTCTTGATCTTCTTTATGGCATGGTGAGTAATAATTGACATTCTTATAAAATTTTTTATAAAAATTCTTAAATAATAAAAAGGCACAATACAGTGACCAGAACAGTACACAAATACCCACACACAGGAGAGTGAAACTCATGACCATTAACTAGTCTAAGTTGGACTGTAATGTCATCACAAGTTTTATTCTCCTGTGTGCTGGTATTTGTGTAAAAACTCTACATTTTTATTTTTCCTTTAGATTTCATAATACTCATGCTGTGTTCAGGTTCAGTAAATCACCATAGGAATAATAATCTCAGTTGAAGTACTGTATACACATCACATCCAGGTTTATTTCATTTTTTAACCCTTATTATGCAAAGGAAGATAAGCAGAGGGTATATAAACACTGGGAGAGCCTCTCATAGACAGGTGCAGGTCATGTCTGCCGATTCAATTTGTATACGTACATGTATATGAAAACACTGTATGTATTGACTTGTATGCAGGAATCAGCTGTATAAGTAATTAAAGAAAATAATTACTGTAACTAAATACCAGTATTGAAAAGTAAATAAATGAGATGCTGATGCTCGCGATTGCTACAGAGACCGAGGGTGTGACCTGCCCTCGCTCGATATGTGCGTCACTTTTTGCACCATCATAAGTCAAACCATCGTAAAGTGAGGAGCACCTGTACATTCATTTCCTTAATGCTCCTACCTTCTGTTTTGATTGATAATCTTTGAATGTCTTTAATTAAATTTTCAGGTGACTAAGAAGACTGTTATGGAAATTGTTCGGCGTCTCATGACTCATATGGACAGAGCAGAGGGCACTATGTATCGTGATGAACTTCTTCAAAAGATTATACTAATATGTTCGCAAAACAACTTCCAGTATATTACTAACTTTGAGTGGTAAGTTTTGTGATGGTTTAATGTATTGAAATTGGTCAAATATCTGTATTTATATAATTTTTTAGGATATTGATATAAAAGCTTATAAAAATTATTTTTATTAAGATATATTTTAATTCAGTGAAAATTTATTGTCATGTGTGTTTTATTATCTTAGGTATGTAAGTGTTTTGGTGGAGCTGTGCCGGATGGAAGGGACACAACACGGTGGTTTAATTGCCAGTCAGTTGATGGATGTTGCTATTCGAGTTGTTGCTGTTAGAGAATTTACTGTTGGTCAGATGGCATTGTTATTAGACAACGCTCATGTAATTGTTGGTCCTGCTGCAGCAAGGTCATCTATAGCAGAGGTGTTATATGCAGCTGCCTGGATCTGTGGAGAGTTTTCTCAGTGAGTGAAAAGTAATTGCTAAGAGTTAAAGAAATAATGAGATGGTAAATTCATTAAACTGTATTTTCACAATTTTGTGTAAAGATAATATGGGCAAGTGTTTGGAAAATGAATGCAATTGAAATGAATGGGGGCCCAGACCTTTGAAGTTTTAGTACAGTATTAATGTACTGTATGTTAAAGAAAACTATGATCTTGTATGTTTCTTTTTTTTTAAGCATTTGCTTGAAGTACTGCAGGTTTTGAATTGTGGACATAGTGAACTAGACATAAAGTTGGGGATTTTGCAATGTTAAAATAATCTGGGCAACCTTTCTGGGGAGTGGATAAAGAAATTAAAAGGTTTGCAGATGGACTATAAACAGGGGTGTACTGGCAATTTTCAACCAGTTATGATTAAGGTTGTAGTTCAGAAATTGGCATAAATCTGTAAGTGCCAGCAGTGATAGAGGTCCTTTTAGTATATCTTAATATACCTTAAACTGTGGAATATTAATCTAGAGGTAATATAAGGCATTTGCTCATGTTGTCTTAGTTTTGGTTTGAGGCTTACTGACCCTGTACATTGGATCAAATGCTTCCACTTCTCTCATGGAGTGCTCCCTACACTACACATTTCAAATCTCAGGGATTGCAACATGCTCAGAACAGCAACAATTTTGTTGGAATATCAGCATATATCTCACTCTCTCTTTTTCATTCCTTCATTCAGATTGCTTTATTTCATATTTGTGCTTTACATTTCATCTTACTGTCGTTTCATTTTTCTCTATTGAGATTAATTTCTTTTTACTCTTAAATATTTGTTAAAAGTTAAAAAAAAAATTGTATTCCAGTTTAAAATTTGAACACAGTCCAGGCTAATCCCACAGCTGGTGCCAACTGTGGGAAATTGATTTTATTCTTATGTAGAAAGAGAATGGAAAGTTTTTAAAGGAAATTTACTGCCATTTATAGTGTATTTGGTAAGATAAAAATTAATAATTTTGGTTAGTAATTTTTATCATTCAGTTTGAAGTTTGAAAAAGCAAAGAAAATGTTAATTCCCATTTTTTATTAAAATTTGTACTAATTTTTTTATCCTTTCAACAGTAATCATTACAGATTCTGTAATTTAATAGGTTTGTATTTTATGTATGGGGAACTGTACCTCTTTGACTGTGCATTACTTGTGTTGAGACCAATTGTAAGTCACTAATAAATTTTCATACAAATATGGAAATGTAAAACAGCTCCTCAGCGACAGTTTATTACAGATTGTTGGAAAATCCAAAAGTACTCTAGAATCCATGGTGAGGGGAAAAGGGTTTAGTTTTCTTCCAGGACATACCCAAAGCTATATATGTTCACAACATGCTCAAGCTCTTGTCATATTATTGCTACAGCAGAGGAGGAAGATGATTCAGAAATGATAGAAGAGGTAAGAGTTTTTTACAGTGTGTTAATAGTATTTTGGTTATTAATTTCGATAGAATATAAAATTATGCTGTAATCTTTAAACATTCATCAAATCTTAGATAAAAATGTTTTGGGGATTCTGTATAGGCTGTTGTCCCAAAAACAAAAAAAATTTTTGGGGAGGAAAAAGATATCAGAAGCCATTCTGGTAACAAATATTGTTTATTTTTATTTATATTCATGTTAATGGTTAACCATAGAACTGATGAAGGGATAAAAGGTGTGTGGGGGCATTGAGGCATCTGTGGAAACAAAGCATGTTATCCATGAAGGCAAAGAGGAGAATATATATAAGAGTTACAGTGGTACCAACACTTACATGGATGTGAAGCATGGGGGTTGTGAATGTTGCAGCAAAAAGGAGGCTGGAGGCAGTGAAAATGTCATGTGTGAGGGCAATGTGGGGGTATAAATATTATTTAACCCTTACAGAAGGAGGAAACTTATTCTCAAACCAGAACACAGAGAAACCCTTTTTTAACCCCTTGGATCAATGGTATAAGAATTACGAGCCCATTGGCACACAAAAATTTAATGATTTAATAACCACTATTTAGAGTGTTCTCACAGATTTAAGTGGGCGGAATAGGAAACAAAGACCCTCACTATAAATAACAATAAAAACCAATGTAAATACAATAATGATCCACAGTACGCAATCTAACAATGCGCTAGGAGGATTGGTAAAGCATAAAGTGAATGTAGAACCCCAGACCTGCTCAGAAGTTCCAAGCTGCCCCTAACAAATGCAAGGAATAGAAAAGGGAAAAACTTAGGCAACAGGAATGGGAACAGTTTGTTAGTGGATTAAATAGGTCCACCCTTTGAGTTTTGGCTTGGAAAGGTAAAAAATAAAATAACCAGGAAAAGACTGGCAATGTGTTCATCCCTTTCCCCTTGAAAAAGTCAAAAAGA